TGTTCAAAATTTCCTTATTAAGAAAGATCAGCTGGTCTTATAAAGACCGGTCCAAGACTGGTCCTAAAATTTAGGACTGTGGTTCAAAGGGACTGGTCTTTTAAAGACCAACACAACCCTAATTAATGTGTACGCATCGATCAAATAACAAACTTCTTTTTTAAAATTTTTTTTTTTATAATGTCAAAATCCACAACAAGAAAAAGAAGACAAGAAAATACATCTGGAGCAGCTGGGTGAAGTGGGTAAGTGTTTTAAGAATAAGGATGGTGGTGGTTATCGCCCGCCACTTGTCGTTACTCTAGTTTATATATAAAGATTGGTGGTTATTGCGATCATCATCATTCTAGTTAATTATAAACTTTTTTTTTATTAGCAAAAACAAAGAAAATAATTTCAATAAAATATTATTTTAGTATTCAATATTGTAAATACTAATTCAACATAAAATAATTTTTATATACAATTATTCTCTGCACAAGCAATCTTCCTCTTTAGAGTTGGAGAAGGAGGATAGATGAATTGGAGTTGGAGTTGAAAACATTGAAAGAAAAATTAAAAAGTGATGCAGGTAAATATCTTGGATGTAAATGTTGGGTTATACATTGAAGGCTGATAAATATTCTAGTTATTATAAAAAATGTCAATCATTCACTGATTCATAGGCGAATCACCAATATAAAAAAATTATTTTCCATTCATTCCATTTTTTTATTTATTTGGTATATTATTTACAATATTAACCTTGTGCTTTTCTTTTGATTGTTTCCAACAATTAATAAAAGGATTGAAGGGAAAAGATATATCAGGTATTACACAATGAATGTGTAAAATTCACACCTCCTTATCTTTGATACAATGTTGCCCTTTATCCTATTCATGTTAGAATTAACCTTTTATATAATTCATTTCAAGAGCTGATTGGCTTAGAATGCAATGCAACATTTTCAAGATATACTAGAAATTTCAAATTTCTATGTCACAATGGTAAAGCAGGTTGGCCTAAACTTCAGAAAAAAGATTCAGTGTGAAATGGAGAAAGCTGCGGAAGATCTACCAAGTGAAACCATCTCAATCACTCTAACTGGTGATGATGCAGATGTTATTGATCAAGACACCTTGAACATGTCTCTTGAAAATCTCTGGAGATTGTCACCTCCTATTTCAAGCACTATAAAGTTTTCATTCAAGGTCAAAACATGTAAGTTTAAAAATGGTGGCATATTCATTATGTAATATTGCTCACCATTCAACAATTTGTTTTGCAGCATAAGAGCAGTTTTCCAGTTATAAAAATTTTAGTGTAGCAGCAAACAGTTTCAACCTTAATTATGATAATATCAAAGATATTCCCCAAATGAAAGTTAATCCAAAAGGTATTCATTTATATTTATTTAGACATTAACATAATTCCCTGATATTTATTCATATTTCTGTTTATTATTACTTGCAGAAATTAAAGATTGTAATGAAAATGAAATAAATGTATTGGATGAATTAATGACTGAACTCAAGGTAGTATTGGCAACTCTTCTTTTTCTTTAATTTGGAAACAAATTGCTTACTTATGTTCTCTAAATGTAGAAACAACAAGGTAATTTGGGTGTGCTCAATGACAGTAATGAAGCAACTTGATCAGAATTTATATTTAGCATAATCCACAACAGTGTTCATCTTTGTCAAAAAGTACTTGAGAAAAATGCAAATGAAATTAATACTCACATTGAACAATATTCAGCTGGGATACATGGTCGAGGTCCTTTGAACTTCAAGATTTGCTACAAATAAAATGTCATATGTGTTACAGAAACAAAGGCACAGAATTTGTCTGGAGGAGTTGCACAAAATTTGGTTCAATTGGAAGCTGTTACTAGAGTATGTTGCAATTTATTTTTATATGTGTAGGAATTGCTAACAGACTATAGATATTGTGAATTACATCATTTTATTTAGGAAAATGCCAAATGCAAGCATGAAGATGATACTGTTTATGGAATTGTCACCAATGGTACAAGTTGGCTTTTCATTGCTTTCTCAGATCATGACATAATTTCAACAAGTCAAACTATCTACCACATATCATTTGACAATTTAAGTATTTGCCAAAGAACTCTCAAGAATTAAGTTTGTCAAGTGTTCACCATCATCAATGAACTTCTATGTGAACAAATAACTTTAAATGATGATTTAGATAATAATAATATTACTTCAAGTGTTAAAAGGGAAAAAATAATGAAAAGGAAAAAACAGAAGTTGAATGACTAATACACTGCAAAGTGACAAATGTATTTAATATTGTGCTCTCCTAGCTTAGAAAATTTATTACTTTTATTTTATTTTAAATATGAAAATTTGAAACTTTAATTAATATACTCTAATGATAGGATTTTAACTTTTTTCAATTTATACATGTAGTAATACAAATATAATATCTCTTGAATATAATAATGAAACTAGCCTTGAAATAATTTTCCTAAAACATATTGTTCTTTAATATATATAATAAGCAAAATTTTACTTTTGTTATATTACATTAATATGTGCTAATGGAGAATTCAAGATTCAAAAATGAAAAAATCCTACAAAGTGAACATCAAATTATATATAGGGATAAGTGTATATACATGAAAAGTGATAAAAATAATGGTTCTAATGAATATCAAAAAGCAATTGATTTTTTTAGAAAAAGGCTGTAGTTGTGGCTGTTCTTCCAGGATTCCTAAGGAAAATTTTGCAGAATTAAGAGAATCATTTCAAACTCTTTCTAAAGTAGAACAAGACATATTTTTAATGGCTCAACTTAAGGTAATGTATGGTGGTTCAGTAAGCACTAGTAGACACCTTAAAAAGAAAACCAGATCCAATAAAAAAACTTTCTATCATTGGGATCATAATACACTCCTTTGTCAAGAAACTTATCTCAATATGTTAGGAATTAGTAGAACTTATTTTGAAAATATTAGAAATCATCTGATAAACAATGGTCTTCTACCAAGAATTCATGGTAATATTAAAAGAATGCCTCAATGGAAAACTAAAATGGTGATTGATAAAAATGTTGCTGAAGTAATAAAGAATTTTCTAGAAAATTATGCAGAAGTCCATGGATTACCAAGTCCAGGAAGAAATATCAATAGAATAACTCAATCAATTATATTCTTACCAGCTGAAATGAGTTATAAATCAGTTCATAGAGATTTTCTAGCTGGTCTAGAAGAAGATAGTAATTTGAAATCATTGAAGTATGATGCCTTCAGAAAATTATGACACCAATTGACACCAGAGATTCAAATTATGAGTCCCAGGACTGACTTGTGTGATACTTGTCAACATTATAGAGATGGTTTACATTACAATGCTCGCCATGAGGAAGAAGCTAAAGATTTACTTAAAAGGTTTAAAGAACATTTATCCAAGGCCAAATTAGAAAGAAATTATTATAATAAAAATACCAAATTAGCAGAAGAACAAAGAAAATTAGTTAATCAACATTATTCAAAGGGTAAAACACAATATTGCAGTATTAATGCTACTGCAGATTATAGCTATGATTGAGCCCAAAATGTTCATGTGCCACATTCTGATCAACAAGTAAGTAAGATTTATTACCTTAGTCCATGTAAAGTTCATTTATTTGGTATTCAAGATGAAGCAGTAAGGGAACAAATTAATTGTGTTCTTAATGAAGATGAAATTATAGGAAAAGATCCTAATGGCACTTTTAGTATGATCTTTGATGGAATTAAGAAATTAAATAAAGGTGAAAAGTATTTAAAGATTACTTGTGATAATGCTGGGAGACAAAATAAAAATAATGTAACAATTTGGTTTTATTAATTTGTGGTCATTATGAAAGCATTAAATTAAATTTCATGATTCCAGGACATACCAAATTAAAATGTGATAGTAGTTTTGAACTGATTAAAAAACTCTACAGAAAAGCAAGAGTAGATTGTAAGGATCATGTGGTTGAGGTGATAAAAAAGTCTAGTCCAGCTGGATTAAATAAAGCTCAGTGTTATGAAGGTGGAAAAGGCTTTCAATACTTAGATGTTAAAGCCATTTTGGGAATTTATTTCAAGAAATTAAATGGTCTACAAAAATATCAACACTTTTTTTTGAAGCAGCTAGTCCTGGTATTGTAAAAACTCAAACAGTTGCTAATGGAATTTTTATTAAATTTAATTTATTGCAAACTAGAAAATCAGATGTTTCTCAAATTATTAAAGAAATTAAAACTTTCTATGTTATAGTGTTGACATCACCTCCCTTGGATTACAAAAGACAAGAATATCTTTATCAAAACATTCATCCATTTGTTAGAGATAAGTTTAAAGAAATTACTTGTCCAAAACCAATTTATGCTGACAATGAATAGAAAATTTAAAAATAAATTTTATTACTTCATTATTATATTAATAAAATAATTATATACTTAATAATGCTTTTATAAAAGAAAGATATTTAACAAAAAATCATGGTAAACATTATAAATGAACAACAACAAGCAAATAAAGAATTATTAATGAAATTGAAATATGAAAAGGCAATTAGTCAATAAAGAGGAAGAACTAAAACTAAAAATTTGACATGTGACAGGTCAACCTAGTGAAGACAATTATTCTCCTGGTCATTGATGATACAAAAGACTAAACAAAAAATGAATTGATGAAGGCAAGTTAAGAATGGCAGTAGATTCTAATGAGACTAGATCATGAGCCAAAAATCGTAAAAGAGTTTGATTTGACAGTATCACTATTGAAGAGATGTTAGAAGGGTTTATTGATTATTCAAAAGATTTAGCAACAAGTTGTTCTAGTCATATTGCAGATCCAAGCAGAAGAGATAATCAACTTTATAATCAAAGAAAAGAATTTGAGAAGAGAATTGAAGGGTTAGGGAAGTATAAGGAGCAAGTTGAAAATTTAGAAACAAAACTTACAGAAATTTTATCAGCTTGACATAAGAAACAGGAAGAAATTAATTCTATTTCTTGAGAAGACCAATTTCATTACTGAGACTTGGAAGATTTAAAAGAATTATCAGGCAGAACAAAGAAGGAATTAAATAAAGTTGTCTTTGAAGTCATTGAGAAATTAGAACAAAGTGCTAAAGACTTAGCTGAAGCAATAAATACAACTGAAGCATGAAAAAATTGACAAAAAGGTCTTTTGAATGATGAAATCAAAGAAAAATTGCTAATGCTCCAAAAGTCTGCAAATTTGCAAGAAGAATTAGCCCAAAAATTAGAAATGTTAAGAAAGAATGATCGGAGATTTGAGGATGAAGCAAAAGAAAAAGAAGAATTAAAAATACAACTATATTTGGAAAAACCCCCCTTTACCCTCTCTTCCTAAAGAAGTAGAAAGTAGGACTTTAAATAAACAAAGCATTTTCAAGCAATTAAAAACAAAAATGAAAGCCAAGGTTCAGCAGTTGCAGAAATTAATCAAAAGAGAAAAGTTTCACAGTCAAGCAATTGTTGCTAAAATAGGAGTTCTAGTTAAGTAGTCATGAGAGAACTGCTTTACATAATCTTAGATTTAGAAGAATGACAGCAGTAATTCTACTTGTGTTTTCTGCCCTGGTTTAAAAAAAGCAGTTTGTCAAATCAGAACATGAAGCAAAGCAACTGGTGAAATGGTTGAAAGTGATAAGGCTTGTGAAAACTGTAAAGAGAAGTTTGAAAATAATGAATTGCCTAAGTGTGATTGTGGAAGATTAAAGACTAGATATACTTGTGATTGCAAAGAAGAGAAAAATGAAAAAGAACTTCCTCTTTTACCTCATCAAAATGGAGGAATGGCACTTTTTTACAAACAGCAAATAAATGGCTTGCAAGAAAAGGAAAGACAGTTAGAAGAGGAAGTAGATACACACTTGGAAGCTTTAGGAGTGGCTGAAGATTGGCATAAAAGACAGAAACAGGAATTATTAGATCAAATTAAGCAATTAGAAAAAGAAAATAAACAACTAAAAGAATTAACTCCACGAGAATTAATAAAAGAGATCAATGAGTTAAAAACTCAATTAACTCAATTACAACAACAAAATGGTCAATTAATTGCTCAAATTGAAGTTAAAGAAACTAAAAAATGACTTTGATTGAAAATTAAAGTTGGAAAAAAAGTAATTATTTTTTTTATCAAGTTATTCTGCAAGTTTTCTTTTTTTCCTTGATTCTTTACTAGAATTCTAATACTCTTTTGAAAACTCTTTCCTCTTGATAAATTTCTAAATATATTTGCAAAGATTTGGTATCTGCTAATTTAAAAATGTAAGGAGCAATTTTCTCACCTTGTTCCTTTTTCAAAATACTTCTAATGGTACTGTAATTCTTGGATTCCATGGTAGATCTAATGTAAATTAACTTCATATTAACTATTTTTATATAGAGGTAATTCTATATATCACTTAAGATAACAAATGGGATATTATAAAACTGCTAATTTTAACACACATTACAAATACTTCATAATACACTCCTTTGTCAAGAAACTTATCTCAATATGTTAGGAATTAGTAGAACTTATTTTGAAAATATTAGAAATCATCTGATAAACAATGGTCTTCTACCAAGAATTCATGGTAATATTAAAAGAATGCCTCAATGGAAAACTAAAATGATGATTGATAAAAATGTTGCAGAAGTAGTAAAAAATTTTTTAGAAAATTATGCAGAAGTCCATGGATTACCAAGCCCAGGTAAAAGTATCAATAGAATAACTCAATCAATTGTATTCTTACCAGCTGAAATGAGTTATAAATCTGTGTACAGAGATTTTCTGGCTGGTCTAGAAGAAGATAGCAAACTGAAATCCTTAAAATATGATGCTTTCAGAAAATTATGACATCAATTGATGCCAGAGATTCAAATTATGAGTCCAAGGACTGATTTGTGTGATACTTGTCAAAATTTTAGAGATGGTTTACATTACAATGCTCGTCAGGAGGAAGAAGCTAAAGATTTGCTCAAAAGATTTAAAGAACATTTGTCCAAGGCCAAAGTAGAAAGAAATTATTATAATAAAAATACCAAATTAGCAGAAGAACAAAGAAAATTAGTTAATCAAAATTATTCAAAGGGTAAAACACAATATTGCAACATTGATGCTACTGCTCATTATAGTTATGATTGAGCCCAAAATGTTCATGTGCCACATTTAGATCAACAAGTAAGTAAAATCTATTATCTCAGTCCACGTAAAGTTCATTTATTTGGTATTCAAGATGAAGCAGTAAGGGAACAAATTAATTATGTTCTTGATGAAGATGAAATTATAGGTAAAGGTCCTAATGGAACTCTTAGTATGATTTTTGATGGGATTAAGAAATTGAATAAGGGTTAAAAACATTTAAAGATTACTTGTGATAATGCTGGGGGACAGAATAAAAATAACACCACTATTTGATTTTATTTATATTTAGTAATTTGTGGTTATTATGAAAGTATTGAATTGAATTTTATGATTCCTGGACACACTAAATTTAAATGTGATGGTAGTTTTGGCATGATTAAAAAACTCTACAGAAGAACAAGAGTAGATTGTCTGGATCATGTGGTTGCAGTGGTAAAAAAGTCTAGTCCAGCAGGATTAAATAAAGCTCAGTGTTATGAAGGTGGAAAAGGCTTTCAATACTTAGATATTAAAGCTATTTTGGGAATT